GTTCTTCAAATACCTATAGAATGATATGTTTCTTTTTTGTGAGTGTAAAACACTTCAATACACCATTTCGAATCACTAAATAGGCTTCTCAGAGCACCAATAATAATAATAATACATGATCTACTCGAGCAGTAAATTCTCAGACATGCAAATAATGATGAAGGTGCATACAGTAACAACATTTAGCAGATGTCAACTTATGTTACGGATGCTATTATGCATTATATATCGCCCTATACTTGCAACAGCACAGCACCACCCAAGGCATATTTTAGTGATTGAAGTTACTTTACAGCCTATCTAAAAAAAAATCCACTTTAACTGATGCCAAAATTGGTGTTGCTATTGTTGAGAATTTGGCACAAAGTATCTATAATATGACACAAAGCCAAGAAAGCTCCAGACTTCCTTCTTGTTTATAGTGTCAGGTCAAGCAACACTCCTCATATTTAACAAAATCCATATACACTTTGTCACGACTCACTATATGCCTGAGAAAACTAAATGCATCTGCATGAAAAAAATTTTACATGGTTTCATTTTCAGACCTGTTTCTCACAGGAAATAAATTACCATGCTTAGATTTTTAACTTCAGTCGGATCTGTGCCATAAAAAAACAGAATATCATTGGCACAAATTACATGTTGTTCATTTTGCAAACCATGTAAGCTTACAGATTTACAGTGCTAGCCTCCGGAGTTCGATTTCCCACAGTGGATGTAACAGATAGCCCAAAGTAGTTTTTTTTGTTCTAAAACAACCAACAAGAACAAACCATGCAATGCGAATTTTATCAGTTACTCCAAAGATTGGTTTAATATGATGCAAAATTCATAGAAGCATTTTCGTGTGCTTAAACCAGTCTTGACACTACTTTCATCATCTACCTCATTAATAACAAGAGGCTTCCTTTTAACTATGTGGATAAAGAGAAATGCATTTATATTCATTTCTTCATCCATTTATCCAAAGTACACACAGAAACTCAATATACCCCCTTTTCGGCGATCACTACTGGGGATAACCAAACACTCTCTGAAGGATAAGTGATCCCATCCTTCAGCATTCTTATCTATCTCAGTGCTTACTATACTCCTAGTGCTCCAAAGAAGCCTAGATGAGGATTGCTTTACAGGACATGTTTCTCTGGTATTTATGTAAAGCTGGATGATATGCGTTCTTCCCAGCCAACTCTCTGTTCCATACAATACATTTACAAATTACAGTTACCTCCTGATCTTTCTGCACTGATCTGTGCTTAGATTGTTTACACTAATGTCAGTTACATTCCTGTCATGCACCATAACAATGGCTGGTCTTTCCAGTATGGCCACAGCCTGTCTGCCATAGTTACACACCATATATGAATATATCTTGATAAACTAGTTGGAGTTATTATCTGAGATTTTGTTTGTCCACAGAATGCCATGAAACACCATTTTTACATTAAACCGAACTTTATTATACTTTATCTTGACAGAAATTTCTATTTTAAACCATTAGACCTTAAACTCAAAAAGAGCTCAAGGCCAAATGTAATCGAGGGTGTTCAGAAAAATGAAGAACTGAACTGAAGAAACAGACATACAAATGCCTTCTTCCAAATTAGTGTACATACCAAATCTCAAACTCACAGACTCGGCATGGCCAGGTGGTTAGGGCACTCGACACGCAACCTACGGGTCACAGGTTCAAATCCCCGTCACACCAAACATGCTCGCCCTTTCAGCCGTTGGGGCGTTATAATGTGACAGTCAATTCCACTATTCGTTGGTAAAAGAGTAGCCCAAGAGCTTCCCTCTAGTCTTACATTGCTGAATTAGGGACGGCTAGCGCAGATAGCCCTCGTGTAGCTTTGCGCGAAATTCATAACAAACAAACAATCAAACTCACAAATTTAAATCAGCAAACCTGACAGTATTCATAGCCTGTTATCCCCCTTGAGTATGTTGTAGAGTATTCAGCCTATTAACAGGGCATGTGGGATCCTGTCTAGATATAAGGAAAGAACATTTACATAAAAAATGACCAAACTGTCCATACCTAAAAACAGAATTTATTATTTTTTTTCTAACACCCAACATTAGTATAACTGGCACAGAAAGACTGCGATATAGCTACCACTCAGACTGAACTTAACTACCAGTTTATTTTTATGAATGTGACGCTATCTGTTGTGGCTTTCCATAAAGTTAGGTCAGCACACTTCATGCTGTATTATTTAAGTAAACCTCTGCAGGCTTTTAACATTTAATCGACTTAGTTAAAGCTAATATTTTGTACTGAATTGCCAGAGATTTAACTTTAGTTGCACATGATGTCTCAACTCGTAAGTGATATTGCACAGGCTCGTTAGGAAGTCCATCCCTCCACAAATTTAAGGATTAAGATATCGTTTTCTTCACTGCCACCATTCTGGGGTAACTTTACAGTGTAAGCATCACAGTTCATTGGCATATACAGCTACATTTTCATGGGCATCACTTTAATGAGCATTGAATTCTGCCCAATAGATAGCTTAAATATTCATTTGTTTGAATTTTTGATGCAGCTCTGCAACATTTACTCCTCAGCTACAAAATTGATCGAGTTCCAGATATTCTACGACATCTAGTGCTGGAATTTTAAAATAAGCAGCAGATGTTGCTTTATTGATTTTTATGTTCAGGAATTCCATGAAGCTACCTGGCAAAACCACTTAAGGAAGCAATCTAGTTTTCCTTTTGCCGAACTGTTAATGCATACAGGCATAATGTTTTCCACCTTGCTACTTTCTGATGGTCGTAGCAAGAAAAATTTGCCATCTTGTATGTCATTCTATGAATGATTGTGGAGCCTGTGTTAACACTAACATTGACTCCTTTCTAGCAGTTCAAGTTCTTATATTCTGCTAAATGTTACACTCCCACTCGTGCCCGTTCGTGTGACTTTTGTCATAACAACACAGCCACAGCCTGATACTACTCAAACACGAGGTCCTGGTGCGCAAAAGGCATCAACACATCATCTCTCGTATTTATAAATCTCCTACTTTATCTAGGGTACATCATGCGTTGACTGTGACGATAAATCGCGTGCAGACTGTGATGACAGCTATGCATTTGGGAGGTTATTTGGGTCAAGCCAACAAATATCGCCCATCTGTCAGTTGATATATAGCTGCTACAAAATAAGTTATCCAGTGAGGGGTTTTGGCAATATAAGATACAATTATCCACAGCTCACTGTGCAGACCACCCAACTTGATCTCAGCGTACCAACAGTTGGTAACCCCTTCTTGGTAGCTTCCCATCTGTGTACTCGAACTCAAAAGATCTGGTAGAGATGTAATGACATTGTCAATGGTGCCTGAAATGTTCAACCACGGTTATGTTATCTTGATGGATCAAAATAACAAGAAGCTCTTGAATGCCTGCTGAAGTACAGAAGACCATCAACACTCATTATATAGGTTTCTCACATCTAATAAGGAGTCATTTGTCATCGCATCCAGGTCAATCTGGTTTTCCTCCTTTTCTCCATAGAGCATGGAGCCATTTTAATTACACGGGTACTAAAACCGCATCACTAATGAACGATAAGATATATGTGTGTTAAATGTTTACATTATCACACGAAACAAGTTCTACAAAGCAAATAATGAGACATATGCATAAAAAGTTCATGATTACGTGAATCTACAATATTAGATAAAATACAGACCAGTTTGTAATATATTTTTCAACTAGGTAAATGGATAATAGACGAGGTTCTACAAGGTCATTTCCGAGTCTTTCAATTTTTTGAAAAGTTGAAATATAATGGACTTGTTTTCTGAACAATACTTAATTCATTGCTTTTCATTTTTTTAATCTAATATATATATACTATTCCATAATTCTATTATACATAACATCAATTATCTTAAAGTTAATATGTTATAATATTGTAATGAATCTTTTAATGTGAATTAGGTTTCTTATATTGTGACGGATTTTTTATTATATATTTATTTCAATATCAACGTTTGTTTAGATTAACTTTATATTTAAAAACATAGATAGCTTATAGTGTTGAATATGTATTGCAAAACTCCCGCCTATTCTCCAAAGTTGTAGAAGATTCTCTAGAGTAAGAATCAACAATATATATGTGTGTACATAAACGCTTGTGTTAGCGTCAGTATTGTTACGTAAAAGTGAAATTTCGAGAAACTCTTCACACGCTTATAAAAATAACCAACGCGACGCGCCAAAGAAAATAGAGTATCTATTATTAGTTTGCTATAGTCAGTGTGCTATAAACTTCGAAAGCCATAACTGTGATTGTTATAATGCTTATCAATCGGAAAACTTCAGATATTTGACTAGGAGCATTTACAAAGTTGAAACATTAAAAACCATTTAACTTCAGTGGATTCTCATCGGACATTAGTACTTTTAGGAAAATATTACCTGACATCACTGGTAAAAAAATTCGGCGTGTGTGGCTGATGAATAACGAAGGACAAAGCTAGCTAGCTTCCTGTTAAGTGAATTATACCTTCGTCAATTCGTAATTAACTCGCTCATCGTGAACCCTCGATAAAATGTCGAAAAAGCTCCAGACTAGAAAGAAAACTTTATATTGCTTGTAAATTTGTAAAATTTTTGTTTATAAATCATTGTGTGTAATAACGTTTTTTTATTATACAAGAAGGTATATTTTATATAGGTACACAAGAGTCTAAATGTTTGATTAGTTTGGCTTATTTCGATGTTGTCTTACATGTAAAAACTAACTTGCACTTCTCACATATATATATTTATATATATATTATTTTTTCTTTTGATTTCGAAAACTTCGAATATTGGCTCTTAAAGTGATGCAGAACTAGTATTTTCTCCAAACTAATAAAGAAAAAAGAGAAACCTGACAATAAGACTTTTTGTACTAAACACTCTCTTAACCCCCCCCCCCAATTTTTTTGTAACCATAAAATGTACCCCCCTCCTCCGGTGGCTCAGTGGTAAGACTTTTAACGCTAAAAATCAGATTTCGGTATTCGCGGTAAGCAGATAGTATATTGTGTAGTTTTGTGTTTAACAATAAATCATAAAACTTACTAATATCTTACTTAAAGCTACAACTCACCTATTCCAATCAAATAACACTTAAAAAACATAGATTTTTCAGCACACATCAAACATCTGGACCAATCTTGTCTTTTGAGCCTTTACTTATAATTCCTCATATTCGGACTCCTGCAACTAAGCTTGTTGATTCATAACAAAAAACATTAATCTGTTGTGTATAGGCAGCGTATCATATCCCTTAAAATATTTCAGTATTTACCGTGTCAATAGTCACTCGTAATTCTTTTCCAGCCCCTGAAAAGAAAGTTTAAGCTCAAGAGTCTAATTTAATGTTCTCTACATGGAATTCAAACAAACTGGCTTTATGGGTTATGCAAAGCATTAGATTTATTTGAAGTTAGCACTTCTTGCATAAAAACCTTTTAATCAGCACTTTGTCCTTCAGCCATGTTTTCATGTCTGTCTCGATAACTTGAATTTTTCAAGCCACTTATCATTCTCAAACATTTCATTAAAAAATCCTAAGACTTAATTATGTACCAGTATCTAAAACTTTGTTAAATTTTTACCTCTTGCTCAGTTAGCTCCTCCATTTTCATTATCTCTTCTAATTTTTCATGCCTGTGTAATAAAATAAAAAGGAATTGTAGGGATATCTTCTTTTTTCATCTTTTTCCTTTTTGAGATAAAAATACTCATCTAAAAAGAAAACTAAGAATTAGATTAGCTAAGTTTGATGTACTGTCATGAACTCTCTAAATACAAATTAATCAATTAAGGTCAGGAACTAGGAAAGTGTTCCAAGATAAATACCCTCTTATACGAAGGTTGTGATACGAAATTACTGATAATCTTTAGTTTCACGTAAAGATATAATTTGTAGTTTCATACACCTAACTGTGTTTAAACGAATACTATAATTTGAACTTATAACAAACATACGATACAGACCAACTCTTTTTTTTTATTTCGATTACTTTTTGATATTATTATACAGCATAGAATTTGTTTCTTTTAGTGTAAGGCTAACTGCAGTCTGTCCACAGTGGGGAATCAAACCCAGATTTTAGCGTTTTAAATCCGTAAACTTACTGCTGACCCATTGGGAAATACAGCATCAAAATTTAGATATGACTTTTAGTCTCCTGTATTTTAATGATGTCTCTTGCATAACATGAGCGAAGTAAACATTACATAAGATAATTCTTCTAACTCAATCTGCTTCAAAGGTCAGAAGTCAGCAAGGCAAGTCTTTTCCCGGATGAGCTGAGATCTACATATTTCATTCAGGCTCCTTGCTGAATATCCTACGATGACACACAATAAAACTTGGCTAACTTATCCCTCGAACATCATGAACTACATGTTATGCTTCCATCTTTCTAGTTTCTGTTTTTGTTTGTTTACAATTGTACTTCATCCTAGAACTACTTAAATAGCAATAACATACAGTAATGAATCTACACAAAAACACAAAACTTCCCAGCAGGCCTCCAAAACACCAAAACTTCTCTTACAAGCCGCATCCTCTCTGTTTCTTACCAATCATAAATAGGATTGCAGGAATATGGAAGTATCTTTGTTCCATTTGACAGTTGTAGGCCAATCCCCTACACATAAAGTAATGAAGGAGACAAAACAACGATCCTAAAAAACAATAGGTAGCTTCCTTGACAAAATAATACAGAAAATATTATCCAAAGTTAAATTTAGGACATAATATCAACTAGGTTTAATATGTTCCAAACCAGAACTTAGAAAGGTATGCAATTATATACTATAGGAGTAAGAGTATTTGTTTTTTTTGTAATTAATAACAAAGCTACACAATGGGCTATCTGTGCTCTGCCCACCACAGGTGTCGAAACCCGGTTTCGATACTTAGTTTGAGCTATTTAGTTTGATATTATTATGGTATTAGGTTATTTGTCTCAGTATTATTTATCATTTCAAAAGTACATTTAAATTTAAAATAGAGTATGGCCTTTCTACTACATATTGTTGTAGGCTAAATTCTTTATATTTTAATTCACATGTTTTGTTTGCTAGAGGGAGTTTAAAAGATGTAATGACAATGTGTGTTTACTATAAATTTCCTGAAAGTACAGATCTGACATTAAGTTTAAAATGTTCAGAAGTTATGAGGGATAATAATGTGATAATACAGGAGTGAGTTGATGTGTGAATGATTAAGGCAGCCACTTAGAAAGTGGGATAATTAATCAGTTCATCAATTATAAAGTTTAGTCAGTGAGCAAGTCAGTTAGCAGATGAGTAGTTAGTTAATTAGTGAATCTTTTTGCGTGTTATTGATCGATTACTGTGTGTTTTAGTCAGCCAGTTTTGAGTTGTATCGTTGATAAGATGGGAAATTTAACAAATACCTTTTCTGAGAGTTTACCCTATCAACAAACATAGCCTGCAGAATTGGTACATGTAAGTACCAAACCAGCCACATCTCTCTCTGCATCCACAAAAGAATTCCATTCTCAAACACCATTAAATACGAAATATGGAATATGACAACCAATCTGGTCCACGCCAGGTATTTCTATTGTTGTATCACTGATGTCTGTCAGACCTTTCTGGACAACTCCAAATATATCACTAACTAATCAAGGTCCAAAATTTAGCAGACAAGTTTAAAAACATCACCCAATTGAGAAACTCACAGAATATAATGGAAGAACACCAGGAGGAACATATCTGGCTCAGTTCAAAGTCATTTCCAAAGTGAGCAAATGGAATAGTGAACAACAAGTTATTCATCTTACAACCTATATAGAAGGGTCAGCTTTAATAGCATTAAACAATCTATCCAGCTTTGTCAAACATGTTTGGAGTAACACACCAGATGGGAGTTTCCAGAGTAAACTTAAAAGCTGAGTAAGGGGTAAAGACGAAATCTTAACTTAAATTGTGGAAGATGTGTAAAGGCTTTCCCAGCTATCTTACCGGGATGCGCCACATGTAATGATGGATTTATTGACTCACAATCATATAATAGATGCCATAACAGATGAAGATGTACGAATTAGACATAATCAAAATAGATGTACCTTAAACAGGGGTGAAATTCTCAAAAAAAGTAAAGGTACTCAGCTGAGTGAAGTGGACCTGTTTTTGAAAAAGAAAAAAAAGAAGCACAAATAAGTTCCGGTACTTAGTACCGGTGAGTACCGGCAAAATTTCACTCCTGTTTTAAAAGAAAGTGTCCAGTTGCTGATAAGCCAGTTAAAATTGCAGGTAAAGGTAAATTCGCAATCCACGAATTATGAACTTATCAGATCAAATTGTATAGAAACACCAACTCTCACTGATGAAAGTCTAGAAGGTCTCAAATGATTCATCAGACAACTCAAAATGGAAGAACTAAGGTACATGATAGTGGGTGCTCCAATTGCAACTTAAATGGAGTTGCAGACAAAATACTTTAATTAGAGAGTTATCTACACAGTATGGAAGATGTAAACTACAAAACAGAAGGTGTTTAAACTGTAATTTCAAAGGATATATTGCTAGTGACTGCTCTGAAAAAGGATGACAAGAAAAGAATATTACTATAAGTGTGGAAAACATGGACATTACAACCAAGACAATGATGAATCAGTCATTGATATTAAACCAAGTAAACAATATCTCGAGGATGAGAACATACTATCTGCTACAATACAAATAAGGAATATATTATTTTTAAAACATCAATACATGAGTCAATGGGCTTATTTATGGGAAGCGTGGATTATGTCGATCAACACTGGTTCTATGGCAACAATTTTTCAATCCGATCTAGTAATCAACGATTAAAAATTACCCCCAGAAATAGAGAAAGAAGATAAATTGATGTGTCCAGTAAGTGAGCATAAAATTCCAGCAAGAGGAAAGTTGGAAGTCATTCTCTTCATGGGAAACTTCTCTATACAACATGATTTGTGGGTAATTGGCATTAAGGAAGAGTACATATTGGAAACTGGCTTCCTGCAGAAACATGGATGTGAGGTTAACTACTAGTAAATTTACAAACAGGAAAACACAGTCAGAGGATGAACTTGTTTGTTTCGAATTTCGCGCAAAGCTACACGATGGCTATCTGCGCTAGCCGTCCCTAATTTAGCAGTGTGAGACTAGAGGGAAGGCAGCTAGTTATCACTACCCACCGCCAACTC